GCGTATACCAGAGCCCGCCATTCCTGCTGGGCATGCGCACTTATAGTCACCCTTGACCAGTCCGCATGCACACTTGGCCTGGCCATCGCACTGATTGCCACACATGGAAGCATCAACGTCGACCGTTTCCCATTGTTTCTGGTGAGGATCTAATTGAATAACAGAGATACATTCAATTCAGTGTCATCTTGTTGGCCAACATATAAGCTTAATAATCAATGAATCTATCAATATCCCATCTCTCCTCTCCTCTCCTCTCCTCTCCTCTTTTTTTTCTATTGGAAGGGGAAAGGAGTGTCAAAATCTTTTTTTATCGAAACATCCTTACCTCCTCTGATGTAAGTAGCAAGTTCATTAAACTGGTTGAAATTTTTAAGATGAAATGCATATTCTATACCAGGCTTCTGACCAGCTACCAGTTTTCTTAAGTTTTGAAAGTGGACGCCACCACCAACACCAATAGCAAATATCTCTGCTTTCTGATCAATCAGTTTCTTTGCAATCGGAGTGGGGTCGTTATCATGTCGAGGCCAATTCCAATAACCATCGGTTAAAAGAATGATTACTGTTTTGAAGACCTTCATCGGAGATCGCTTAATCCCTTGCCATTTCCCAAGGCATACATCAAAAGCTTTCTGAAAGGCGTCTTTCATATTTGTCATTCCATTTTCTTGTTTGAGTGTGGAGAACCTCTGGTTGAAGTAACACTTGTTTTTGGTACTCTTTGGATCCGAGATAAACCTAATGAAATGGCTGGCTGAATYGGAGAAGGGGATGACTTCAACTCTAGTTGCTTCATATCCAACCGAAATTTTATTCAGCAAGTTCCTGACGAATTTCATCTCGTAACCGAACTGGGGACCCCAAAGACTCCCTGACGAGTCGATGAGAAACAGAATATCAGCCTTCTGGTTTAGGTGAATTGAACCTCGAAGTTTTAAGATATCGTCTCTTGCCTTCGATAGCCAATCCACGGAGAACGTTTCTGGCAAAAGAAAGCAAAATCCTAAAATAAGGAACGACGTTAGACGGAGTAACCCCATAATTTGGTCACTCTTCTGGACTATCGCGCGCTGATGTCTTGCCGTGGACTGCAGCAAAACTACCAAGATGATTTTGGGTTGGTAGAAAAGTTTCACCTGTAAAAACCGACAAAAACTAAATCTGTCATTATAGAAATAAGGAATCTCAGCTGTGTGAGCTCAGTTGCAACCCCAGGTGTAATTTCCCACTGAGATTGTCATACCAATGTACAGAATATTTCTATGTTGACTTCATCTATTGAAACAGTAAAATGTTCCAAGCTCAACCAAACCTACGTGATGTTTTCGATTTTTCGTTACAAATCCCAATCCCATTTTTCTTTCACCAATAATTTCCCATTGAGATTGTCATACCAGTGTACAGAATGTTTCTATDTTGACTTCATCTATTGAAACAATAAAATGTTTTAGCAAATTTTAAAAAAAGGTTCGTGCCTAACCACACCTATGTGATGTTTTCGATTTTTCCTTACAAATCCCCCGCCATTTTTCTATCACCAACAAGCGATTGCCAACCGTTAAACTAACCTTGGGTATTACAGTTGGACGACACTTTAATTGGGCTGAAACTTTTACCTGGAACATCGTTAACAGTCTATTAAAACATCGGTTAATATGTTTTATTGATATTCCGATGAAAAGTATTGTACATAATTTGGGAAAAGACTTTAACCAGTGTTTATTAAGCCCTTAAAGCTTATTCCAGTAAGGTTTCAGCTCAATTAAATTTTGGTCCAAGTGCTCCTTTAAAGTTATTTTAAAGCGCGTTATTTAAGTGATCGTAAACATATTCCATATAATACCAAGTTAATTAAACAAATAATTTACATCACCGTGAACTACACTAAGAAAATAAATGTAAAATTAATCTTGTAGAAAAATATTTTTTGAATAAATTTAATTGAAAATAAGTTTCTCTTTTTACCCAGAAAATATGGCTACTCGTTTCCCGAATACTACCTCTGTAGTGAGTACATAAAAGCGACCGTCCTCCTCAGCCTTTGTATGCAAAGGAGCGACCATATATCGTGTATGCGACCACCCGTTATCATATAAAACAATTCATCTCCATCTGTAAGCCATCGGCCTTTCAAAGGGAGTACTCTTAAAAAGTATCTATGACCCTTTATGAACGTCCAGCATTTCAGTAAGAGGACTTAATAAAAATACCCACAGACCTTTACAAGCGAACAGTCTTTTTAAGAGCCTACTTTATGAGCCGAACCATTTAATAATTTTATAGACGAAAACCCACTTTCTCACTGAGAGCATCATTTAAAAAAAGACGATCACTTATTCTCGGCGATCGCGCTATATTCTGTCGACCGATTAATCAACAAATTATTTTACGAATACCAGGGTTAAAAATGGAGCCTTTGCTTAATAATTTTCCGAAAACTGAATGTCTCTTTTTCAAAACATTTGTTCACGAAAAGACACCCATTGGAGTAAACGAAAAAACAAGAAAAGTTCAATATACTTAGCTGTGTTTGTACAGTTTATATGAAGTAAGATATTTTGAAATGTAAAAGGAATATTAATTTTAAATGTTTACCCAGTGGTTTTGAGTTGCTAAAAAAATATGAAAAATGATAAGCGCCGAAAAATAATAATAAATAAACTCAGTTATTGGAATAATTAGAATTGAAATCATTTGTCAATTGTTTGCCGTGCAACTTTCGACTGAAACAAGGTAGATAGATGCTTTATTAAAAATCTAGTAAAAATAAATAAAATAAAAAGTAAATGAAACGTATTAATACAAAATATAATGACAAAGTTAAGATAAAACAAAGAAGACTGCTATACTCTAATACAGAGTCGTCTAAAAAACTTTTGTTCCCAATGTTCTGTCTCAGGGATATCCCCTATTTTTTTAATACAAAATAGTGCAATTAGACATCACTTCTTTCAATTTTGTTTGGCGATATATTGCTGCTTCTTCTGTGGTTTCAAAAAACATTTGTTTCTATGATCGAGAGAACAGAAATTATTTCCTGTATGAACTGACTTTTCTTTTTCTTTTCCAGTGCTTTCAGGGGGAGGTGGAATTATCAGAGGCTGGGGGGAGCGCTCAATAATAAATTTAAACTTTCCTGAACTAGAGCGCTTTTCAGTCTTACCCACGATCTCAAACGGGGGCGCCGTCCGCCTGAGTGACAAAAGGTTTAATTTCCACTTGAAAAGAAGCATTCCTATTTGCTGTTGTCGCTTTTGACTTTGCGTGTTTCTCGATATCCAATAAAGTGACCATATGGTTTATCATACGCCTTATCTCGTTTAGAAAACACAAGCACAGTCTAGCTAGACGAATCGAATCCCCCACGCATTGTACAGGATAGACGCTGGATACGGCGATTAGCCCTCGGCGTTAATGTGTCTTAAAACTAGTCATGGTCAGTATCGACTCAAACATTGATCCTAAATTATCTGTTACTCATCCGATCGCATGCCGAGAAGATATCCTAAGATTTCCGTACCGACAGTGATGAACTGATAACTCAGTATCATTGTAGAAAGCTTCTGTGCAGCAGCGAATTATAGCCAACATTCAGTATACCACTGCGGGTGCATCAAGTGCTTATGCAACGATAGAAGACATAGGATTAGAAATGTGTGATTCCTAAAATGATATACTAAATGTGTAGACTGTAAATTGTGTGATKACTAAAATGATGATGATGTAAACTGAGTAAAGGAGAGACAGAAGAAGAAGGATAGAAAGGAGAAGGAGGAAAAAGAAAAACTTTGCAAAGGAATATGTGCTTCAGTTTTAAATAAATATCTATATAAAAACTATGATACTAAGCGCTGATGCATTGTCTTTCAAACTACAAAAATACGATAAACGAAGTAATGGAAATGCCTTGAAAACCTCTTTTTACTTTCATCGGTCATCTCCACTTCCAAACAAGTTAAACTTTCTGAATAACAAGATTTTAGGCTTGTACAACAGCCTTTCTTCAAGAAATTAGTTTTTGGCGCTCACTGCTGGAATACGAAAAGAATTCTCTCTTAATACTATTTGGATAAAATCTTCTTGTTTTGACAACCACTTCATAATCACTTCGGTGAGTGCGATAAGTATTTATGACCCACGAGCGAGTGTTAATAAACTTATCTCGATTTTTGATCCAGTCCACGGTTTATTTGTCTACCCGAGTCTCCTTGGATTTAACTGACGTCATAACTGCCATATTGGGTCACCTCGTTCTGTCTTTAAAAAACTTGATCCCTCTTGTAATATCAACCAAGATGGCGATCACGTTTTCTTGGTATCTTTGCAYAGTCTTTTCTTTCGGTTATCTATCTTCTCTATTATGGAATCATAGCCCGACATCTCTATATTCTTTTTTTTATTATTTTACTCAGATGTCGGATTGAGTCCGTTAATCCGGCCGGTCATTTTCTTATCGTGTTGCAAACTTAGAAGTTTATTATTAATGTGATTTTCAGGCTAAAATCAGTTTCATCCTTGATCATCAATCACGCCAATGAACTACATGGCCCGGTGTAGTTATAGAGGTCCTAGCATGCATTGTTGACATTCATACTGAGTCTGACGCGGATAAGTTAGCATATTAACCTATGCTATTTCTGTCAGCCATCCAAAAAAGTCCACAATAAGAAAAACTAAATTGAGTCGACCTGTGATGACTCCCATGAGCAGCGTGTCAAAAACGACTAACTACTTTACAGTTACTATAGCTCTGAAGTGCTTTCGGTGAAGTTGGAGGGTTTTTTCTTGGAACTGAAAAATGATAAGCATATACATAGTCAAGTAGACACTGCCGTAGACACTTATTCCATTGCTTTCTTTTGTTTTACTTTGACTGTTAGTTACTAACTATGCAACTTTGTTGCACAAGTAAAATCGCTTTAATCACGAATATTTAAAACAGATATGAAAGCCAAAGAGAAACGGATATCCTTGATAAGAAAATGATGTTGTAATAATCTTTTTATCGTAATTATTGTTTATTTATTTTACAATTTATTTGTTTACTTTTTGAATATTAACACTGAAAACCTATTTTGAAGTTCATCCAGAATTTGACGTAAACAACACCAATATTCTATATTTTTTTTTTCAAATTTGTTATTTTAGGAGGGGCTTTCCTTATTTTTCTTAGTATTTGCCCTACATCGTATTAATAACTATGACAATCTACAGTCAGATATTTTTGAACAATCAATATGATTAAATACACAGTCGAACTTAAAAATGGATCTTGTTTTAAAGGGTCATTCTCTGACAAATGTGGCTCTCGTGCCATGCTCAACTGAAATTTGGAATGTTCCTTTTTAGTGAAAATGTAGAGAAAACGGTTGGAGAAAACCTGATAAAATAGCTAATGAACTTCATGTGTAGAAGGAACGTCCGCAGAAAAATTTCTAAAAAGGGGCGCGACTGAAGATAAGCCGAAATTTGAAAAAGTAGGAAAAAAAGCGAACAATGGGGGTTCCTGTTTATGGCTTTCATTGGCATGTTCGTAGCGAGAATTTCTAGGCCAAACATAGTCATTGAAATCCAATATATGAAATCATCCATCGGTCAAAGAGTACCTATCACCCACGCTCACGATTCCTTTGCTTCTTACGCACAGAAACCCGAGCCTGTAAGTGAGAATGAATGCGGTGACTACTATGTGTGTATAGCCCGATAATAAAGCACTTATCAAGTCCCTTAGGAGAATTACTAAGCTCATTAAGTTTAGCATGTATTAAAGTGTTTGGTTACCGCTCGTCCACCCACAGATCTATACCTCAAATGTCGGGTCAAGGTAAAGAGTCAATCATCTAAGAACACGCTGAGAACAGCTTTTTTTCTGGTTGACTTTTTAAGGTGTTATTTGTCACAGATGTTATATGGGTACAGAAAAATACCCCACCACAGAGGGTGTGCCCCTAAACAAAGTATGTTCAATTTAACAAGGGAAAAGATGACCTTCTTAGGAATTAAGTCGCATTAATAGGCTTCACCGCCAATAGCATTGCATAAGTCGGTAATCAGAGTTACTGGACATCTGTTGATTGTGGCAGACTGAGGCTCCCGGACTTGAAGAGTATGAGTATGAGGATCGTGATAGCCAATACAAATGTGATTTACGAGATGGGCAAATGAAATCAAATCGTCTTAAGCTAGTCAAGTGAGAGAGCTCCTCGCGGCATGTCTAACTCGTCGTCAGTGAGATAACGGTGTCAACGTGGCGTGGGAAAATACCTTGAAAGCTGTCAACGCACTTACTGATTATCATGATATCATATAATGATCAAAAACACACTCTAACGTCAGCAGTTGAGAACACTCAATGGTTTCCGCTGTGAGCCAATCAAAAACGCCTTCTTTACCCACCCCCCACCCCCCAGTCCTGAAACGCTTACGAAGATGCACAGTATACACTCAAACGCATTTTGAATCATTGAATTAATAATGATAATAGGGATTTGTTTAAAGCGCATTTCATATTGTCTCAGTGCACTGTACATTTATGATCAGTGGAGGACTTTATGGACTGCATATTAGGGAACTATTAGCAGCCCTGCAGCATGTTAGTTATGCCTACAATTTAGGATAGGCTGTTCCCCTACTCTTACACGAATAGAACTGAATAGAGCACCAGTAGGGATCATAGTGGAGGATTTATGGACTGCATAATAGGGGACTTTTAGCAGCCGTGCAGCTTGTTAGTTATGTCTATAATTTAGGATAGGCTGTTTCCCTATTCTTACACGAATAGAACTGAACTAACACCAGTAGGGATCATAGATTTCCAGCCAGACGAAACCGCCGGTTTCCTTCAGCTGGTTTTATGCTCAAAAATATTTTGTTGTTGTTGTTGTTGTTTTGTCCGAGTATTTGTTTGTTTTCTGTATATCTATTCCTAAGTGTGTCCGTTGCCACTCCATATACTTCTTAGTTTTATTCGTTAAACTGGAAGGAGTTTCCTAAAAAGTTCCTCCAATTTGATTTATTTCGACTGTATCATCCCTCTTTCTCACTCTCTTTGTCCTCGCATTTCTGCAGACGTCTTCCATCCATTTTTACGCTTCCTGTTCGAATTCTTCGTGTGTTCTTTCATGTCCTTCCCGTATTTCGAGTGCGAAATGCGTTGGGAACGTCCTTACTTAAAGTCAAAGGAAGTCTTTTGTGTCGATACTGAAAATCAATGAAAGTGTGAAGTACCAACTTCCCATCCTTCACACACAAAACAATGACAGACAAGTGATCGAGTTCGTGCCGGGGTTTTTTWAAAAAAAGGTTTCATCACCATGCCACTTAATATCATTACAGGACAGTGAATAATGATACTAGCCCTGACAAGGCTTATTAAATGATTGAAATAAAAGTCCGACACTCATTCGGTGTTTGTTTAATCAAATATACCAGTTTTTTTACCATTACAGGAAAAACGTATAAAGCAATGGAATAAATGCCTAAGATTCGATAACAATTTTTGGGTCCACCTGAGTTGGAAATACGGCACAAAGAGTCTATAAATGAAAATAGGTCTCATTAGGGACTAAAAGGTACCAGCCATTGGAATAAAATTTTTGATAATAAATAAAGTAACTATCAGTTACGTAATAAAAATGACAACAAATGAGTGTTTCTTGAATCAGGTGGGTTATTAGGCTCGAAGACCTTGATTCGACTAAAACGTTCCTATTCGTGCGACGATTATTTCTTCCTATAGAGCCGATATTCGAACTTAGTACTTGTTTCACAGGACGACTTGAAAGCGATACCCACGATCGAAACGCACGGAAACGGTGAGTCGAGCGATCAACAGTCTGGGACGTGCTTCCTTTCATTTAGGAAGCCATTTGTTAACGGAAGACTAAAAGAACATCCAAAATGGCTTTCTTGTTGGGCAGTAGCTAAAAATACTTCACACTGTCATTAATGTGTTCAAACCTTTCCTGACCTCAAGAATTTAAATGGGAACTAGAATGTCTATGCTTAAATATAGAATATCACTGAACGATTTCATAACCGGTAGTATTCCGGGAAGCCATTGGGAGAGGCAATGGACTGTCTCGCGTTAGGTGTTTACCGCCATTAATTTGTGCAATCTCCAACACTTGCATTTTTATCCTTCTTTGAAGCTGCTCGTATCTTAGTGTCCTCGTCCACAATGGATCGGAGGCGTCCGTTGAATAAGGAATGCTTTCACATGACAGTATGAATAAGTAGAGAATTCCCTAGCTAGTGTCCACTTGATAATGGGTGTCTGATTCATAAGAGATGGGCTCGAGGTGTCACTGTAGTTAACTAAATATGGAGTTTTATGAAGCTTGCCTAACTTATAGGTGCCATTCATTGGATCACAAAGAATTGAAACCCTAGGTTTTGCCAAAGAAGTGAAGGAGAGACTGAGGGAGAGAAAGAGAGAGAGTTAGAGAGAGAGAGAGAGAGAGAAGGGGGGGATAACGCCTATTTAGGAAGACCCCATAGACATAATGGATCAGTTGTGAAATGTCAATTGTTTGTTTGATCGAAGAAAGAATCAGACAATTAATGATGAAACAAAGAATATCCTCTTTCCTGCTGCGGTAAATACATTATTGGATTAAATGCACCWTCACCCAGATTCTACCCACAGTTCTATAAAAACGATTTTTTATACATTCTTCCAATGGGATCCCAGAGTTGCAGTCGGCKAATAAACGATGTTCATATAGGTGCGCTAAAAGTTGGTGATGTATCATGCGCACATTTTGGCTAGAGTAGTTACGTTTTAATCACGTCTGGGCTATCTCAAGAAGAGGCTGCGAATACCTTACAGGATGTACTCTGGACATCGCACTGAATGATGGATGTTGTTTGTTATGTGGGGATCAGAGGTCTGACTGCAGAAGCGCCCTAAAGCTTGATAAAGAACAAAACACTGTCATCAAATCGTTAATTGGTGATTATTGCCTGTTTGTGGGAGAGTTTAGCACAGTGTAAAGGCAGGCTGGTGTTACACTTTAAAACAGAGATCGCCCAAGACTTCCAGATGGATAATTCTACGCAGCCAGCCTCTCCGTCGCTCTCACCGAAAGCCAATGCATTCTCTATMGCCTCTTTGATCGCTTCATCGATGCCCCAAGAAAGTGATAATTGTAGGTTTGACTAACAGTAAAAAARCGCTCTGAGGTTTGCTAGATCCGTTGGATGGGCAAATCCGTTTGGGCTAATTAAAACATGTCCGTAGTACAAAATGCGCCATCAGTTGAATAAACTAACGTTTAACAATAATTTGTGTCAATAGATCCAGAGGACGCTACAARACTAAAAAGACGATCGTCAGAAGACGATGAAGAGTCGTTTGACTTGCTTAGACCTGCGAAGAAGGTAAAAGCCGACAGAGAACTACACGAAGAAGAAGAAGACGACGACGACGATGACGATGACGACAGCCAAGAAATTGATGTAGAAGAAGAGGATAGTCCAGTCCAAAAACCCGATGATGTTACGGGTGATCTTAAGGGCATTAAAGTGGAGCTCGAAGGACGGGATTTATGGGAGAGATTTAATGAATTGGGCACGGAGATGATTATCACAAAAGCTGGAAGGTACGTATGAACAAATTGTTTTCAAAGGGTATCAACAAAGGCTTGTTCAAGGAAATTGATTCGATCTCAGTTTAAGATCACTTTGAGATTCGACTGAACTACTAGCACGAAAATCAAGCTTCTGTGAACTATGAATTTCAGTTACAACGTTGTATGAGAAATATCATTATTTTGTTAGAGTGGCATCAAGAACTGATCATTTTGTGAAACGGAATTTCGTGATGTGTACTCGTCGACAAGGGTTTAGGGAGACGCTTCCAGACAGAACCACGTACTAAAATAACCTCTTGAAAATCGTTTACAGTTCATAATATAAATATATTAGAGTAAACAACACATAAACCGCTGCAATTATGAGACGGGATATCTTAACCATCTAAAGTTATAATTAAGCAAGATGAATTCTGCTGAATAACGATTAAGAATGTCTGAGCCGGCAAAAAATTCTTAATAGACTCTAAGTACTAGTTTATACCTCAGTATGYGAACGCCATTAAATTGAAGTATTTCTAAAGGTTCTAATGGTAGACCTGCTACAAATCTTCTGGATTTTGTTATTTCGTGCTAGATGTCCTGAATGAGTTACCAAATTGAATTATCGACGTCCATGTTGTAATTTAGTAGTCAATGAGCTGCTGTCTTTTAATTCTCTGCTGTATCGGACTTTTTGAGACGTAATTTCTGTTCCTTCTTCACAATCTTGGAAGTAACTATACTGTAGTTTGCGTGAGTATCCCAAAACCGCAGATTTAAAAGTCTGCTTGCTATCGGAAGTTTCCCGTTTTTGTTGAAATGATGTTAACCATCATAATCAGAAAGACAATCAGMTTTGCTAAAGCACTCAAATAAGACCTCAACAACTACAAAAACAACGCCGGACAAAGAACCAAAACTTTCTAAAAACGGAACTTCAACATTCTTGTCTGGCTTTCAGACATCTTTTCCAATGTTWATTCTTTAAATATTGTACAACTTTGTTCTCGAGATTCGCTCGTTTCAAAGCTAAGCTTTCTTCTGTTAAATCAATTARCTCATCTAATGACAAGAATGAAGATAACAATGATGTTAACATCCTCTTTCTAAAACAAACAAAGAATAAAATCTTCTATAAGTACTTCGAACTCGACTTTTATGGAACTAAACGCCACTTATTATCTCTACCATATGCAACCATGACTAGATAAAACAAACCAAACCCAGTTATTTAGTTCATTTTGCTTGGTGTTATTATAACGTCGACACAGTATCTGGCAACTTCGTGATTCCCTGAACCGTTTATGAGTTATGCCTAGATATTATTTGAAATCCGTATCGGTAAAACTCGTATTTTATCAAAAGGAACTGTAATAAAGAAAAGATGGAAATCTGTTCCTTCTTTGAAGACACTTTCCTATCTTATTCAGTCGAGCTCCTTTCTTTCTCACGGCTATCTTGATGTCAGCGTCCACTTCTTCGGATCTCTTATGTTAAGCTCTTTTTGATAAGTGATGTTCGCCATYGCAATTACATCAGTTCTAATTCTCATCATTGTAACTCCTAGGAACGCTATTTGTTACTCTTCTTTTCCTCTAACATTCAGGAATCAAAGAGAATGTCTGGTTCACATGAAAGATACAAAAAACGTTTGCGAACGTTTCTTACTAGCATCATCACCGTGGACAAGCTAGACTTTTAGTTTAATGAACTGCCATACTCAATGCGAGATAAGCGCAGATATTGTTAACCGTTTCTATCAAGAAAGACCCTACATTAACAGGTGTTGAATTGTTGACTATAAGGATGAAGTTCTAAAAAAATTAAAAGCTACCAAAGCTAAATTCAAATCAGTTACTTGACTATAATAACATTCATTATAAGCGGATTTTCTTGAACGTGAGTTTCAGTTAAGCGACAAGGCCACAAATTATGTTTACAAGTCAGTACCAGTCCGAGAGTAATCGAATATATTAGGAATTTTATTAGTTCATTAAATTAACAAAATAAGAAGAAATACAGGGGAAAGGCCCCTTGGTTCGGAAGAACAGTTGCTCTTATTTGGTCTATTCCTTAAATAAAAAAAGGTGGTTTTATTGTCAAGAATTCAAAAGTGTTAACCAAAACTAATTRAAAATTWYGTTTTGMTATTTCCTTCYCTTTCTTTCCAAGTTTCCATTTYCTATATYCACCTTTTTCMTGCTGTTTGTTTATTTCCMTGTTGGTTTTTAGACGAATGTTCCCGACTTTACGAGTATCAGTAAGCGGTGTCCAACCYAAAGCTAACTATCTGGTGCTCATGGACATYGTGCCTGTTGATGACAAGAGATACCGATATGCCTATCACCGATCCACGTGGTTAGTAGCAGGCAAGGCAGACCCCCCTGCCCAGGTTCGTCTTTACATGCATCCTGACTCACCCTTTACAGGGGAACARCTTCAAAAACAAATCGTTTCCTTCGAGAAAGTCAAGCTCACGAACAACGACGGTGACCACAACGGACATGTAAGTATGCACAWTGAATATACGAGGCTTAGTTTTGTGTTCTAGGATTGGCTATTTGATGGTCCATAACTTCCTTAAAGACCAACAAGTGAAATCAAATAGTCCTTATCATGACTTCAAACTTTCAAGTTCTAGCATCGACTAGATTTTTAAAACGTGAGAGGAACAAAAAAACAAAAAACAAAAAACAAAACAAAACAAAA